ATGATTCGGCACCCTTTCAAATGCTATAATGATGTTCAATACCGCACTATAGCTTTTTTAAATTTATTACCGCACTAGTGCTAGTGCTGTCTGTTTTGTGTTTTGTATTGTTGTTTTTCTGTGTTTTTTTGTATTCTAGTGTATCTGTATTATTCTGTGTCACTTGATTTGACGCCATAAATGGCACTCACTTCGAACAGTTAATTTTGTTAACAAAAACATTTTGGACAAAAATCGCTGGAAATTTTAATAAATACTGACGTCAAACAACGTGATTGTCTAAAACAACTTGAAGATTTCGAACTTGCAGTTGTTTTGCTTCGAATTTTGTCTCCGGTCATAACGAGTCGTACAGAAACCATGTAAAATAAGCTCAGTTCTCCAGCTGTACAGGGTGTCAGAAAAATATAGCCTAACTTTCTTATTTTAAATGTAATCTCCTCATTTTTAGCATGGTTTAATTGTTCTTAGAATTGCGAGTTTGATCCACCATAATTTTGTTAACTTATCTCTTATAATTTTTTATATATGTTAATTGTTTAGGAAAAAATGGCATGGCAGGTATTTACGGAACAAGCTAAATCAAGTTAACGGTTTCAAATTCAAAACTCAAATTTAGTAGGTAGTCAGCCCCCACTAACTCCCCATATGACTCCATTGTGCCTATTTTCGAGCATGTGGGTGCATGCAGTGTACAAGCATTGACCTAAAAATAGTCGAAAAATTATTTTTTTTCTAAATGGCACCTACAAACTTTTTCGCTCCTGTTTGAAAATTTTGCTATGATTAAACAATAAGAAACTAATCTGAAGAAGGGCAAAAAAATTATTTTCGCCATAAAAAAACTTGTTTTTTTACATTATGTACAGTATGTATTATACAGTATGTCTACTTTCACTGTGATGTCCAGTACTTCTTTCTATGAGATGAGATCAGATGGTTCTACTATTGTTCTAAAATCGTATTCTCGAATGCATAGAAAGTCATGTGATAAATTTCTATACTTTTAAAAAATAGCCTTTAGAAAAATAAGAATGTCATAATTTGAGCTAACATTTAGTTTATTACGGAAATCATGTCTTTTTTTCGGAAATAGTATCCGTGTACCTACATAATATACCGGTATTTCAAAATCTGTCATCATGTAGGGTGTCCCACCGGGAACCACCGCAATCAATACATGCCCAATTATAATTGGGAGAAATTTAAGAAATGCGCAGGATACCGAACTCATCGGGAGCCAACGATCCAGACCCTATATATTATTAGATTTTTGAATTCTGCTCCAAATTCTAAATGCTTTTCGTCTAAAATATCTAAAATCTAAGTCTAACCGTTCTTAATATATTTGAAATTTTACGAAAAAAATGAGAGATTGCTTTGCTTGTTGAAAAGGATATAATTTTATACAGGGTGATTCATAATTGGCGTCATTCCTCTGGAGGTGTTGTCTGGGGATGTCTTGGGAGTGCAGCAAAATAGTATTCGTCTATACCTGTTCCTTCGTTATTTTTAAAAACTCCGGTAACCATGGATAAACATGAAGCAAAGAAAATAAAAGAGACAATAACATGCGTTGAGGTTAGGATAACGATATCACTTTGCGGTCAAAACAGCCCCCAAGTGCTGCCATCTTTTTGGGGCAAATGAGTGATATACTTAAATAGGACACAACTGTCCTCCAAAACCACTCGTTAAAACACAATGTTCCCAAGAGCAGGAAGTCATGCCCGTTTCACTCCAAACATCTTTGTGTCCCACTCACTTTGGGTCTGAAGTCATATTTTGAGAAGCTTCTCGTGTTCGGATAATTACCTGCTGCTCAATTTGACTCGGTGTTCGGAAGGTCAGAGATTTAATGTGTTCTAGTATCCTGTGCATGGTAGAAATGTAGGCCCTTCCTCAGGGGAGTTATCGGGACAATTAAATATCCGGTGTTTGAGAAAGTGCAGTTGTTGCGCAATGCTTCAAGTACTCCTGGAAGGCTCAGCTGCAATAATTTACAATACCTGTTCCTCTAGGTCTGGAAACCGAGCATCTTTAGATTGTCCACTATCTGCGTCCATTTCGGGCCACTCGCCTAGTGTGTAGCTCTTTGCTGGTGTAATATCCAAAACTTTCGTAATTTGACAAAAAGATCGTAATTTTTTTTGCCGACCTTTGCAAACTAATCGACCTTTGCAAAATAATGCTTAATAACTAGAGGGCGGAAAATATGCAAAGTGCATATCTATGCATTTTTTGCATATTTTATCCAATTTCATGAAAAATTGCATATATCTAAAAAA